ATGGGATGATGATGATGATGTATGTTCGGGGCTGCATTGCAAGATTGATTGTTCGGATCATTGGTATCTAAGTCTTCTGCTTCGCCATCTTGTACTTTGTATTGAGAGGTCAGTTCTTGTTCTGGTCTGCACAGTTACAGTATGCAACAATTTGGTATCGGAGCGGATCTCTCATTCAGAGGACCCACTCAATCAAGTAGCCAGCTTGCTTGATCTATTGATCACTCATTAGTAAATCAAGTAGGACTTCGTCAAATCTCTGAATTTTTTTTTTCTTTCTTTCGCATGTATCTGAAATTCGTGATAATAGCATTTCGTTTTATCTGAAAATTTCTGATAATCGCATTTCGCTTTACCTGAAAATTTTCGATTTTAGTATTTCGTTTTCACGTAACAAATATCCGAAAATTTCTGAAAATCGCATTTCGTTTTATCTGAAATTCCTGATAATAGCACTACGATCTACCTGAAAATTCCGATATTTGCATTTCCGTTTTCACGCAACAAATATCCGAAACTTTTCTGAAACTAGCATTTCGTTTTCTGATATTTTGCAAAGATAGCCGAAATTTTCTGATATGAGCAGTTCGTTTTCTGGGCCTATTAGGATAACGATAGAAGTGGTCATATTCTCGGCTGCTTGTGTGCATCAGCGTTCTACAATTACCACAAGCAAAACCAAGAGGAAGGTATGTACCTTGTGTATGTCTCTGAGAAAGGGGAGGCCGTTAAAACACCCCTAGAGATAGAACGTGTCGTTGCTAAGTTCCCTGATCTGTTCGAAGAGCCCACAGGAGTTGTTAAAAGGAAAGTTGTCCACGCTATAGAAATCATTCCAGGGAGTAAGACCCCAAAGGGAAGGATCTCTAGGATGGCTCCCGCCGAGTTAGATCAACTTCGGCGACAGCTTAAGGAGCTGACAGAAAAGGGATGGATTCGGCCTAGTACTTTCCCTTACGGATCTCCCGTGCTATTCGTACCAAAGAAGGGGGTTACATTGAGGATGTGCATTGACTATAGAGGCCTCAATGCCAAAACTGTGAAGAACACAGAGCCTCTACCTCGCATAGACGACCTATTGGATAGGGTGCAGGGATGCAAGTACTGTAGCAAGATAGACTTGAAATCCGGCTATCATCAGATCGCTATAAGGCCTGAGGACCAACACAAGACAACTTTTCAGACTCGTTATGGTCTGTATGAGTTTGTAGTGATGCCTTTTGGTCTTTGTAATGCGCCGGGGAGATTCCAACACGCTATGAATCGGATCTTCCATGACCATTTAGATAAGTTTGTCGTGGTATACCTTGACGACATTCTGATCGTTAGTAAGTCTGCCGAGGAGCACGCACAACACGTTGAGACTGTACTTTCACTCCTGCGACAGCACAAGTATAAGGTCAACTTAGAGAAGTGTGAGTTTGGTCGCACAAAGATACTATACTTGGGTCATGAAGTATCCGCGGAGGGGATTAGGCCGGAAGATGCGAAGGTGGCTAGTATTCGAGACTGGCTACGACCTCAGACAGTCACTGAGGTCAGATCATTCTTAGGAATGTGCGGCTATTATAGGAACTTCGTTAAGAACTATTCTACAGTCGCCTCTCCTTTGACTGATCTAACTCGACTTGACACGCCGTGGGACTGGAGTGATGAGTGCGAGGGTGCTTTCAAGAGATTGAAGCATGCACTGATGAATCATGAGGTCCTCATGGTTCCAGATCCTCAGAAGCCATTCATAGTGACCACTGACGCAAGCCAATACGGCATTGGCGCAGTGCTGGCTCAGTAGGATGGGAAGAAGTTGAGACCGATTGAGTACATGAGCAAGAAGATGCCATCAAAGAAGTTGGCAAAGTCCACCTACGAAAGGGAGCTCTATGCTCTATATAAAGCACTTGTTCATTGGAGACACTTCCTATTGGGAAGGTTCTTCTACTTGAGGACTGATCATGAGACCCTCAAATGGATCAAGACTGAACCGGCTCTTTCTGACGCACTCAAGCGATGGATTGAGGTCATAGACCAATATGACTTCAAGCTTGAGTACTTGAAGGGAGAGTACAACAAGGTTGCGGATGCGCTATCACGTAGAGCAGACTACCTAGGTGTGCTAGTTTATGAATTTGGCGTATCTGAAGAAGTAACTCAATCATTGGTGGGAGCCTATCAGGAAGACCCTGTCACGATGGACATCATGCGCAAACTTCAGGCAAAAGACAAGGCCACGGAAAGTGAGTTTGTGATGGTGGACGGGTTACTCTATCTTGATAAGGCCAGAATAAAAAGATTAGTAGTTCCATCTAGTGAGCGTTTGCGTATTGTTTTTAGGCGAATGTCATGACGCAACTGGCACTTTGGCTACAAGAAGACGAGTGCTAACCTAGTACAGCGATTTTGGTGGCCATGAATGTTAGATGACGCAAAGAAGTACGTAGAGACCTGTCAGGTCTGTCAGCGGGACAAGCCGCGAACTCAAGCACCGCTTGGGTTGTTGAAGCCTTTGCCTATTCCTGCTGGTCCAGGACAGAGTTTTTCCATGGATTTCATGGACACCCTGGTGACTAGTAAGAGTGGCAAGAGGCACATCTTCGTCATCATCGATCGATTCACCAAGTACACTAGACTAGTGGCTATGCCAGAGACTGCAAGAACTGACTATGTCATCAAGTTGTTCAAAGACAACTGGGTGCGTGACTTTGGTTTACCAAAGTCAATCGTTAGTGACCGAGATGTCCGATTCACAAGTGAGTTGTGGAAGAAGACTGCAGAACAGATGGGCAGTCAACTTCAAATGACTTCAGGGAATCATCCCGAAGCCAACGGACAAGCCTAACAAATGAACAGAGTTGTACAGCACTTGCTGAGGCATTATATCAAGCCCAGCCAAGATGACTGGGATGAGCAGTTGCCTCTCATCGCCAGCCTGTACAACAATGCTGTCCACAACAGTACCGACATCTGTCCTAATGAGCTACACTTGGGATGGAAGCCTAGATCAACACTAGACTTCCTCCTACCTGAAAACCGACCTGCTGCAACTCCAGGCACACTTGAATATGGTGTGCAATATGAGAAGTTGCTGCAAGAAGCTGTCGAGCATATGAAGAAAGCTCAGCAAGCAATGATTGCTTCTGAGAATCAACATCGTAGACAGTCCTCATTTCAGGCAGGGGAACGTGTCTGGGTTAAGGCTAGTGAGCTAGGACAGGAGTTCGGAATCTCTCGCAAACTAATGCCTCAGTACTTTGGTCCCTGGGAAGTCCTGGATATAGTGGGAGATGAGTTGGATGGTCCCACATATGTCATTCGTAACCCTGGACACCTATGCACTCACCCTGTCTTTCATGCCTCAAAGCTTGCACCTTTCGCTGAGACTGATCAATTCCCTTCACGGAGATCGATGCTGCCCCCAACCATGGATGGACAAGTCGACTTTGATGACATTGTGGATCATAGGGATATGCCTGTTGCAAAGCCGCTGGGTCGAGGAAGACCTCCTAAGCCCAAGAGAGAGTATCTCGTCAGATTCAGGCATCACACGGATCCAAAAGAAGATCGGTGGTTCACCAGGGAGGAACTGATTGAGACAGCTCCTCAAGTAGTGGCAGAGTATGAAAAATTGTTGAAAGGGAAGGCACCTGCGAAGTAAGCATCTCAGCGGACTTTCGAAGCTAAGGGGGATGGAATGTGAGGAATGAGCCCTCAGAAGGGGCCTTGCCGACATGCATATGTTCTGGGCATAGGCCCCCAACAAGCCATGTGCCCGCCCTAAGTGAAGGCGGGCCAGACCTGTGACCGCCCTAAGTGAAGGCTGGTCAGAATATCCACGAACAGGCCTTTCTTTCTACATTTTTGTAAAGTGGGTATCAGACAGTTGCAGCACGCCAGTTGGTTGGAGTGCATCGTGGATCCCAGACTCCTGCGTGAAGCGGTTGAGCCCAGGGCCTCAGTTGGTTGAGCCCTGGGCACAAGCCAGGGGAGGCCGACACATCACAGAATGGATGTCGGCCAATGGGAAAGCAGCATTACGGTTGCAGACCAATGGGAAAGCAGCATTGCCATCATGGAGGCCGAGCAGACCATGGGGAAACTGGAAAGGGTCTGCATCTGGGCGACGACCCTGGTACAAGGGGCGCAACTGTACTGCCCGGGCCACATCGGGTTTGGGCCTGGGCGCAGGTACTGGGACTGAAGCGCAGGCTCAAGGCAGGCCGCCCACACGCAGCATCGGCATATAGGCAAAGTGTGCGAGTGGGCAGGGATCTTGGCCAATGCAGGCATTGCGGGCACGCTGCGCTAATGCGAGGTGCTGCGCTGTGCAGAGCTGGGGTCAAGGCAGGCCAGCGCTAGGCGGTAGGGCGTTGCCTGCACACAGGGCACTGGCGGCCATAGCCGGGCCGCATGAGGGTGCAGTGGAGGTGAAGGGCGAAGGTGGTTCTTCGGAGGTGAAGGGCGCTGTGTGGGTAATCAAGGGAGAGTGTGGGTGAAGAGAGAGGACGTACCTGGTGGAGGTGGGAGGTCGGCATTGGTGTTGACATCATCACTCGCTGGTAGTCAAGTTGTCTGGTTGCTTTCATTGCTGTAGTTGTAGGCTTAGTCTGTAGAGTAGATAGGGCGCCTGGTGCCATTCATAAGAGAGAGCTACATTGGGTTATGCTGTTGGTGTTGCCCTGTTGGGCTTGGACATTGACTCACGATTCTTCTGTATCATTCTCAATTGGATGGTTGCTCGGTTCCATTATGCTATCTGCTTTGGCTTTGACTACTTGGACTTCAGTATGATTTTGCATTCTGGATTTCTGTGCTTTGTCCATACTCATGTTCCTTGCGTTTTTATTTTTTTTATTTTTTATCTGTTGATTAGGGCCCGGAGGAAAGTATTGTTTGGTTGGTTACCTACCTGCGTTTTCCCTCCCACCCACCCCTTTGCATGCATTCCGGTTCTGTACAGTGCCACGTGAGCAGTGCCACGTCAGTCACAGTGCCACGTGAGCAGTGCCACGTCAGCAGTGCCACGTTAGCAACAGTGCCACGTCAACAGTGCCACGTCAGCAGTGCCACGTCAGCAACAGTGCCACGTCAGCAACAGTGCCACGTCAGCAGTGCCACGTCAGCAGTGCCACGTCAGCAGTGCCACGTCAGCAGTGCCACGTCAGTCACATTGCCACGTCATCAGTGCCACATCAGCAGTGCCACGACAGCAACTGTGCCACGTCAGCAGTGCCACATCAGTAACAGTGCCACGTCAGCAACATGACAGGCCCAGCTCTGGCCATGCCAGGCCAACTGGCCAACGAGTCGATTGCCGACTACAAATAACGGTTCCAGACTCAGCTCGCACTGATCGAGGCTGAGGAACAACACCAGCTGGCAGCCAAGGCTGCCCGCCTACAGGCTGAAGCAGCGGCAACAGCTGAGAAGCAGCGGCTACAGGCCGAAGCAAACGCAGACACCCAGGCACGCCGCAAGGAGGCCCAGGATTTGCTGCAGCGGCATGAAACCGCCAGCATCGAAAGACTCAAGTTCTGGCACTTTCAACCGTCCAATGGCGATGACACGACACCGGAGGAGCATCATAAGGAGTTCCTCTCCAAACTCGTGACACGGTTGTTGTACGCTTGCAACTACCAACAGTCCGAGTTAGAGAGACAGAACCACGAACTGCAGCAACAGTACCAGGATCTGAAGACACAACACCCGGAGTTGGCGAACCTCCGCCGGATAGTGCAGAGCCACGATGATGCTACACGGGCACTCAATTCCCGTGTACTGGACCTGGAGCAAGCTGTACCAGGACAAGATGCTGGTGAGTCCAACAGTGCACCTTCTAACCGCCAACTGGAGCAACGCGTCGACCACGTCGTCGCAATGCTCGACAACATCAGCACCTTCGCTGCGCCAACCACCATTTGCAATCAGCTGGATACTTTGAAGACCGAGGTCCAGCAACTGCAGTTGACGAACACGGATGACAACAATCCATTGACCTACTACAAGACGCAGGATACGGTGAGCAGCACGATCGGACAATGGATGTACTTCATCGACCAATTTGACTTCACATCGAAACATCTTCCCGGCCTCTCCAATCGCGCAGCAGATGCACTCTCGCGAAGACCTGATCTTTGCGCTATGACACATCATGCCTTCG